AAGGTACTGGAAGAAATACAGTCAAAATGCTCCTTAGATGTCAGGATGGCCAGACTTGATCTCTTATATTTCAGCCATATTATCAGAAGGGACCAGTCCCTGGAGAAGGCCATCATGCGTGGTAAAGTGAAGGTCAGCGTAAAAGAAGACACCCCCAACAAGATGGATTGGCACAGTGGCAGCAGCAAGGGATTCAAGCATAACAACAATTGTGAAGACAGCACAGACCAGGCTTTGTTTCTTCTGTTGCGCATATGGTAGCTATGAGTTGGAACCTACTCTAGGGCACCTAATAATAAAAACAACTTGTAGATATTTGTTCATATTTTAGAATCTTAAAATATCATACATAAATTTTATTGTTTACATATTGATATGCTCACCTGAACTAATTTAAACATTTCATCTTGGAGCAGCTGCCTAACAGAATCCGAAGTATCTGGTAACTGAGCCCTGGGTTCATTTCTCTGGTTCTTGCGAGGTGATGAAGCAGAATCCAAAGCAACACTATCTTCACTTGATATGAAAGGTGGAACTGATGAAGATTTATCTTTAAATGCAGAAGCCTGTGCACTATGTAGAAGTATATAAATTAAAAACACACATTAATGAACAACAACAACAAAAACACAAATTAGGTACATATAACTTATATATAATTTTTCTTCTAATGTAAAAGTTACTCTGGTAGTTTACAGGAAACATGAACATTAGAGTTGATCTCTACTGAATAGGCTTCACCAGCCACCACACATATCTGTCAGCAAAAATTTTTCACCTGAATGTCTTTAAAAGAGGCATGTAGTGTCTAGTCAACTATAGTCACCTCCCAAAGGTGTTTCACTCAGAACACTTCACACTTTTCTTATCCTTGCCTGGCCCCTGTAGACATTTGAGTTGGAAACCAGCAAAATTATTCTGGCTAACTGCACATGTAATTTGATGTGCTAATAAGTTTTGTTTTGTTTTCTTTACTAAAATGAATGACCCAGAATAGAGTTGGAAAAACTGGGCACAAAAATATTTAATAACTCTAAGACTGGTAGAGCTCATTACTACTTATTGGATCTACATGCGAAACAATAGTATTTCTAAACCACAGAGTATACATTTATAACAAATCTGAAGAAGAAACACAAATTCTCATTGAGAAAAATAAAGCGTAAAGCAAGGGTTTTTTCTAGTTTCAGTTTTCTGTAAACAATTTTAGGATCAATTCCTTGAACACAATAGATATACTGTTTTCTAAGCAAATCAATTCCATAACTAAAGTAATGGGGCAGAATGACTTGATCATTATGTTTCCAAAAATAAAGGACTATATTAAATTGCATTTAGATTACATAACCCTTTCACTAATAGTCGCCTTTTGCAGAACATCTAATGTTTTCAGTGGAGTTCTGGTGTAGTGCTGCAGATTAATGCACTGGACTGCAAGGTCGGTTTGTACCACAAGGTTGGCAGTTCAAGCTCACCAGCTATTCCTCATAAACCCTACACAGGGTCGCTATGAGTCGAAAATGATCAGACGGCACTTAACAACAGCAATGTTCTCAAAATAAAACTTTAGTTAGAAATCCACAAAATAACAGGTATTAAAAAAGGTATGCCTATTTAAGACAGCTTTACTGGGCTTTACTTTCAATAAATAGGAAGGAGATTTACTATAAATCATGTAGAATTTTTCTTCAGTTTTACTATATCATCTTCCTGTATTTTAGCAAGGAGCTCTGGTGGTGCTGTGGGCTATGCACTGGGCCCCTAACTGCAAGGTTAATGGTTCAGTCACTCTGCAGGAGAAAGAAAAGGCTGTCTGCTCCCATAGAGTTACAGTCTTGGAGGCCCTATGTAGGATCACTATGGTTAGAAACAATCCAATGGCTGAGGGATTGCTTTTTGGACTTTGTATATAGTAGCAAGACTCTTAAACACTAAGGACTCAGGCTGCCATACCTTTCTCTCTGCTCAACCTCTGAAAAAAGAAAATCAAAACATGTAACTGGATGAATGTGTCCTATAAGAGAATTAAAGCACTTCAAACAGTGTTAGAAAAGTGTTAAACAAAAAACAAACTCACTGTCGTCAAGTCGATTCTAATAGTGACCCTGAAAAGGGTTTTTGAGGCTGTAAATCTTTATGGGAGCATAAAGCCTCATCTTTCTCCTGCTCTGACCTTGCAGTTAGCAGTTCATTGCTTATCATATAACACCACCAATGAGGTTTACAAAGAGCAACCACGCCTTTCAGTAATACATCCATCAGTTCCTCCTTTTTTTTTTTTTCCTTCAAGGTCTCAGAAACGTAGACCCATCAGTGTTGCTCTCTCAGTGCTTCATGAACTTTCATTTTATTCTCATAGTTTTTTGTAAAAAGACATTTAGTAACTATAGCAAAAATACTTACCTAGATATCGCTGAACTTGGACTTGGATCATAGAAGGAATGAGGAAGGGTATGTTCCGAAATTAAACAGGCTTCAATCATACTTTAAATGTAGAATAATATTTGATTAGGAAGCAAGGCATTCTTCAAATTATCTAAAGTACAAGTGATCTAATTCTCAGACATCTTAGAGTGTCAAACATCTTCTATTCCTTTGTCATGCTTAGCTCATAATCATAATCTAGTTACACCTGTATCCATAGCAATTAGTAACAGATTCAAACAAAAGTTTATTTGACTTAACATTTTAAGTATGCTGATTCAACACACTATATGAACACTATTAACTACTCAGCAACACAAAACAATAGCACTGAAAATGAAGAAACATGAAGTTAGCTATCATCTCAAATTTCACTTACGGAACAAGCAGAATACTAAAGAGCCCACTGAAACATTTAAAAACTATAAAGTCAAGTTTTCACTACCAGAAATATCAGTATTACTTGCAAAGGCAAATAACATTTTATATATACATATACGCATGTACTTTTCATTCTAAAATATATATATGTATATATATATACACACACATACATATATACATACATGTATCTATATATATATATATACATACATATATATATACACATATATTCTTGTTAATTATCCACAGAACTGAACAAAATTTGTGTACTAATAATCTAAAGTTTTAAAAATTAAGAAATCATGTCTAAATATACAAAAACTAAAGCTGCCTTCCATTCTCATTGAAGCAATGTAGACAGGCTAGCAGAATATATTCACATCATAGTCCTAATCGACTGTTGGCAGTCATCAAGCCAGAAAGTACAAGTGAAAGGTTGCATGGATTATGACTCATAATTTTTCTTCATTTAATTTAACAAACATGAAAAGGTGGTTTCCTAAGTAGCATATGAATAAACCTTTTTCTATTTACAGCAACATTTTATTTTAATGAGGCTGATAGTAATGGAAAAATCAGCAGCATTTAGATACCATTAAATCATGGGCTACCATTAGATCATGGGCTACCATTAGATCATGGGCTACCACTGCTATAAACTGAAGTTAAAATTTCATTAGAAACACAATAGTGCCATTAGAGATATATTGTAAATTACGTAAAAAGCTGAAAGCTTTATTTAGTGAGGTAAGCAAGTCCGTTGTAATAGCACCCATGCAGTTTTCCTCCTTACCTTTTCTGCTCAGTGAAGTTTTTTGCTATATACGTCTCCAGTGGTTTTTCTTTTGAACACTGAACCTCTTCTGTAGAAAGCTGTTAAAATAGTACCCAAAAGGACAAAAGATAAAACAAAAAGCTAGTACAGTCTCCAATGCTTTGTTTCATCTTTCACATACTCTAGAATAACAATATAAAAGCAAGTGAGATATTAAACATTAAAAAGTATTCCAAGTCCTATTCTGATCATATCTTTATATTGTATGAATTGCCTTTGGCCCATCACTCTGACCTAGTAAACTTATGAAAACACAAAAACAAAATATGTAGTAAACTTATATAATATAAATCATATACACCCCTCAGTATACAATTAATGGCTCTGTAAAAACAAATATAAAATTATGAAAAATGAAATCACTTTTAAAGCATTTTATTTAAATAATTAGGAAGGGCTATGTTCTACCTTCATTTGCTAATGGGGCACAACTCAAAATGAAGAGAAACAGATGTAAACATCCATTGAAAATTGGGACATGGAATGCATGAAGTATGAATTTGGGGAAATTGGAAGCTGTCAAAAATGAAATGGAACGCATAAACATCAATATCTTAGGCATTAGTGAGCTGAAGTGGACTGGTATTGGCCATTTTGAATCTGACAACCTCATGATTTACTATGCCGAGAACGACAAATTGAAGAGGAACGGTGTTGCATTCATCGTCAAAAAGAACATATCCAGATCAGTCATGTGGTACAACACTGTCTGTGATAGGATAATATCCATGCACCTATAGGGAAGCCCAGTTACTACCACTATTAGTCAAATTAATGCACCAACCACTAAAGCCAGTGAGGATGAAATAGAAGAATTTTACCAACTTCTTCAATCTGAAATTGATCAAAATGCAATCAAGATGTATTGTTCATTACTGGTGATTACAATGTAAAGATTGGAAGCAAAGAGGAAGGAACAATAGTTGGAAAATATGGCCTTGGGGATAGAAACGATGCTGGAAAACGCATGATAGAATTCTGCAAAAATCAATGATTTGTTCATTTCAAATACCTTCTTTAGACAGCATAAGAGACGACTATACACATGGACCTCACAGATGGAATACATGGAAGTTAAATTGACTACATCTGCAGAAAGAGATGATGGGAAAGCTCCATATCATCAGTCAAAAGGCGGCCAGGGTCAGACTGTGGAAAAGATCATCAATTACTAATATGCAAATTCAAACTGAAGTTGAAGAAAACGAAAACAAGTCCACGAGAGACAAAATATGACCTTGACTATATCCCACCTGAATTTAGAGATCATCTGAAGAACAGATTTGATACATTAAACACAAGACCAAAGACCAGAAGAGTTTTGGGATGACATCAAGAACATCATACATGAAGAAAGCAAAAAGTCATTAAGAAGACAAGAAAGAAGGAAATGGTCAAAATGAATGTCAGAAGAGACACTGAAACTTGTTCTCCAGCGTAGAGATGCTAAAGTAAATGGAAGAAATGAGGAGGTCCAAGAGCTGAACAGAAAATTTCAAAGATCAGCCCAAGAAGATAAAGCCAAATATCACAACAAAATGTGCAAAGATCTGGAATCAGAAAATAAAAAAGGAAGAATGCACTCAGCATTTCTCAAGCTGAGGGAAACGAAGAAAAAATTCAAGCCTCAACTTTTGTTATTTAAAGATTCATTGGGCAAATTATTGAATGATACAGAAAGCATCAAGAGAAGATGGAAGGAATACACAGAGTCATTGAACCAAAAGGAAATGATTAATGTTCAACCATTTCAAGAGGTACCATATGAACAAGAGCCAATGATAGTCCACAGTGCATTGAAGTAACTGGCAAAGAACAAGATGCCAGGAATGGATGGAATAAAAATTGAAATCGTTCAGGAAAGTGAGTCAGCACAGGAGGCACTCACTCATCTCTGCCAAGAAATTTGGAAGACAACTATCTGGCCGACTGATTGGAAGAGATCCATATTTGTGCCCATTCCAAAGAGAGGTGAGCCAACGGAATGTGGAAATCATTGGACAATCTCTTTGATATCCCACGAGAGTAAAGTTTTGCTAAAAGTAATACAGAAACGGCTACAATCATATATTGACAGAGACCTTCCAAAGGTTCAAGCCAGATTCAAAGAGTACATGGAACGAGGGATATCATTGCTGATGTCCGATGGATCTTGGCTGAAAACAGAGAATATCAGGAAGATGTTTACCTGTACTTTATTGACTATGCAAGGCTTTTGATTGTGTGGATCATGACAACCTATGGACATCATTGTGAAGTATGAGTAATCCAGAACACTTAATTGTGCTCATGAGGAATCTGTACCTGGACCAAGAAACAGTTGTTCAAACAGAACATGGGAACACTGAATGGTTTAAAATAAAAAAGGTGTGTGACAAGGTTGTATTCTTTCACCATACTTATTCAACCTGTATTAAGCAAATAATATGAGAAGCTGGGTTATATGAAGAAAAACATGGTATCAAGATTGGAGGAATACTCATTAACAACCTGCCATATGCAGATGATACAACCTTGCTTGCTGAAAGTGCAAAGGACTTAAAACATTTACTGATGAAAATCAAAGAGCACAGCCTTCGATATGGAGTACATCTCAATGTAAAGAAAACAAAAATCCTCACCACTGGACCAATAAACCAATGGAGAGAAGACTGAAGTTGTCAAGGACTTCATTCTTCTTGGATCAACTATCAACACTCACAGAAGCAGCAATCAAGAAATCAAACGACGCATTGCATTGGGCAAATCTGCCTCATAAGACCTTTTTAAAGTGTTGAAAAGCAAAGATGTCAGCTTGAGGACTAAGGTGCACCTGACCCAAGCCATGGTATTTTCAATAACTTCATAAGCATGTGAAAGCTTGACAATGAATAAGGAAGACCGTAGAAGAATTGATGCTTTTGAGTTATGGTGTTGGAAGAGTATATTGAAAGTGCCATGGGCTGCCAAAAGAACAAATAGACCCATTTTGGAAGAAGTGCAGCCAGAGTGCTCTTTGGAGACTAAGATGGCCAAACTTCATCTCTCACACATCAGACATATTTTCAGGAGGGACCAGTCACTGGAGAAGGATATCATGTTTGGTAAGGTGGAGGGTCAGAGAAAGAGAGGAAGACCCCCAACGAGATGGACTGGCTAAGTGGCAGCATCGATGGACTCTAGCGTGACAACAGCAGTGAGGTTGGCCCAGGATCGGGCAGTGTTTCGTTCTTCTGTGCATAAAGCCACTATGAGTCAGTACCGACTTAATGGCACCTAACAACAACAACAAATGTTCCACCTGCAAATTCCGTGTATGGTTACAGTTCTGAGAACACTAATACATAAACGTGTATATATGAGGGGGTTTCAAAGTTTACAGACACTGAATGATTTTGGAAGAAGAATAGACTGTATATATATGTGTGAGTATGTCTGTGTATATACGCATATGTGTGGTGGAGGTGGTGGTTAGGTGCTGTGGGACTCACAGCGACCCTACATAGTATTTCTGAAGCTATAAATCTTTACAGGAGTAGAAAGCCTCATCTTTCTACTACAGTGGAACCACTGATAGTTTCGAACTTCTGACTGACCATCAGATTAGTAACCACTGCTGACCAACTTGCAACCAGAGCTCCTTATATATACACATATCATGGTGTGGCACTGTAGGATTAAGCCTTGGACTGCAAGGTCAGTTTGAACCACAATGTTGGTGGTTCAAACTCAAAAGCTAATTCTTGGAAACCCTATACAGGGTTGCTCTGAGTCGGAAAGACAGCACTTAACAGCAACATACATTTATACACCCCACAGACATACAAGAGTGTGAAAGAAGCTATTGGTACTTAAGTATTTACCTTTCCTGCAAACACCATTGTGAATGTGGTGGTGCACAGAGGGCAAAATGTTAAAAACTTAGATATTATCAAATATCTTAAGGCAATGAGTAGCTGAGCCTATGGGCTCAGGACCATAGTCTCGGGACACCATGCATATGGTCAATATGCATAACATAATCCACAAAGGCTATGTTCTATATCCTACTTTGGCAAGTGACATCTGGGATATTAAAAGCTCATGAGCAGCCATCTAAGGTAGCTATTGGTCAGTCCATGTGCAAAAGAACAAAGAGCGATGAGAATTAAAGATGCTTGCAATCAACTAATCCAATGGACTAACGGAACATGTGAACATCAGTTTCCAAGACTCTGAGACCAAAAGTACTAGATGGTGCCCTGCTACTACTACCAACTGCTCTAAACAGGATCACATTAGAAGGTCCTGGATACAGTGGCATAATGTGTAGAGCAAAACTCAAATTTATTTTAAAAAATAAGTAAAAGACTAGGTTTACTGGTCAGAAAGAGACTGTGTCCCTCAACTACCCTTCAGGTCTGGAAAGGAATATACCCTTTCTCAGTGAAGCAGTATAGAGGCATGTAGGGGAAACAACTTTCAGCCAAGCAGTAGATAGGTATACAGGGGGAACAACACCACTAGTATGAATGATGGAACGGTCCAGGATTCAAAATCAAAGGGGCAACATGTACCTAAGCACAATGGTGAGAAGGGATGGGATATAGGAGCCCCAGGGAGGAAGTGGGACTGACTATTGTTTCACTAAGGAGAATGCAATCATTTAAGATGAGACAAAGCATATGATCTGTAAAACAGATAATCCTGTCTGTAAGCCTTCACTCAATTCACAATAAAAAACTAAAAAGAAAAAAGTTTGTGGAAAATGGAATTGAAAGGTAATGGAATTTTTCCACAATCTTTCTGAAGCCTCCACATATGACAAAAACTATACCCTATTCCCTAAATTATACTTTTTAAATAAAAGATATTAACACAGACCGGCAGGCAGGCTTGTAGTATATACCCTTTGGTTGGTTGATGATGCATGGAGGGGACTGTAACCATGGCAATGAAACGATATATGATAGGATGAATGTAAAACTAATGTTCTCCCATGTAAACTATCACATAATGCACAATAAAATATTAATAAATAAATAAATAAAGTTATCATCACAACTCTTGATCACATTAATTTACTAAAGTGGCTTATGAAATGAAAATTTCTTTGCCTTAGACTACTAGACATTTTGGCAATAGCAGAATTTTAGTGGGAAAAAAAATGCTACTTGCCATGCCTACATTCTATAAATAAGTCTACTTCTTGTAGCTGAGTGTCATCAAGTCATTCCAACCCAGAGCAACCCTGCATAGGGTTTCCAAGGAACAGCTGGTGAGCTTGAACTGCCAACCTTGCGGATCAAATCGACTTTGCAGTCCAGCATATAATACCACAGCACCACACCAGGACTCCTAACAGTCTATTTATAAGAGATAATATGATAACCTCGAGGACATTATGCTGAGTGAAATTAGTCGGTCCTAAAATATTGTATGAGACCATTATTGTGAAAGCTTAAGAAAAGGTTTCCATTCTAAAAGAAACATTCTTTGATGGTTAACAGAGGGGAAGGGAGGGAACAGTAATTCACTGACTAGAAGGCAGACACATGCTAGCTCGGGTGTCTGGGATGGCAATATACAAGGAGTGGGAGGGCAATACACAACAAGAGGGAAGGTGGCAGATGAGCAATGAAGAAAGGGGAAGACTTAGGGAAGTATGCATGGGCTAACTGCGATAGAGGTAAATAGAGATTTATAAACAAACTTGGAACAAGTGCTCTGTGAGTAGATACATGCATTGAGACATACACTGAATGGGTAAAAGAGGAGGGAAAATGTTATATATTTAACTGTCTTGTGGCTATTTGTTTTCTCTGCCTACTATTGAAAAATAGACATTTATGTGGGAAAGAAATGGATACTGGGAATGAGGATGACAGAAAGTTTGCAAGCTCACCTTCAGCCTATACTGGATTGGGTTTACTACAAGGGGAGGTAAAATTTGCCCTAGAAAATAGGCTTCTTGTTAGGCCTTTGTAGAGCATGGGGCCTAAGATGGAATCTTGAGTCCCAACCAGAATCTTCTGAGTTCCCACTTGAAAATACAAGTAGACCAACCCAAAACTGCTGGAAAAACAGAGATTCTTATGGAAAGAAAGAACTGCAAAACAAACAAACAAACAAATGCAGACTGTTTGGCTGTTTGAATTTTAAGCAAGCAGTTTGCTTTGCAAGCATCAAGGCAAGAAAAAGCCCATCAGGTAAAACCTCCTTATCAGACTGAAATTTAAAGGGAATCTGATAGCTATCTTGCTGGTGACTATCTGGGTCTACTTGTGAGTAGAATTGGGGAAAATGCAGCAATGAAGACATGGGCTGAGTTTGGCCTTGTTCCACTGACACTCATTGACCTTGAGATGAAAAAGAAAAGAGGAAGGCCTGGCTGTCTGAAATTTAGGAAGATGTGTGAACTTCTGAGCCCATGAGCACTCACCTAACCTCTGAAGGCTAGGGCTGGAAGTGAAGCAGCTAGCTGATCTGAAGTGCAGGGAACTCCCAAACTTGCAGCTAGTACCCATTTGACCTATCTTGGATTGCTAGTTGACCAGAACTTGACCCGAGGAAGATAAACTTGTTTGATAATGTGAAAAAGTACAAACTGCTACAATTTGACAAATTAGACTTTTGCTTATGAATGCAGTGATTGAAAATTCAAACTGGAATGGAAAGATTCTTCATATCAAGGAACAACCTTGGTTCCTAAGTGTACTGAGTTGATAGAGATGAGAAATTTAGACATTGGATATCAAAAATGGGGGCTAAAAGGCATGAAGTGGCTGGTTTATAAGGCTTCCTGAGTATGCTTCATTTCAGAATAAGGGGAGCAAGGTAGAATTTCAACTGAATAATTTCCTGCTTTTCCAGATGAATCTGGTGAAAGGGAATAAGAGACCACAGTGATAGGATTCCATGACTCAATTGTGAGTAATTATTAGCTGGATTAATTGTGACGATCACAACTGTAGTTGTAGAAGATGTACAACTAAAAGGGGGGAGTAGTTAATCTTTTCTTTCAGGAACAGATGATCCCAGGACCATCAAGAAAGAAGAGCATGAGTGAAACATGAGATCCCTACCTAGAGAATCACGACAGCAGAGACAGTGGCATGGAGAGAAAAAGCAGTTATGGGCTCTAGGCCCATGGACTGAGAAAGGCTGTGGGCCTGTGGGCAGGAGGCTGGATTGCAGAACATATAACCCTTTGGAGATTTAAATGAATATATATATGTTTTTGTTTTGTAAGTATACATCAAATATTTTTGCTTTGTTCATGTTGTTGCAGGGAGAGGATTGTAATCATTGAGATGAAACAAAGTATACAATTTGCTGAATATAAATCTAATGATCATGTCTGTAAACCTTCACCAAATTCACAATATAAAGTTGAAAAAATTTTTTAACATTCTAATAAAAAAAAAGAGAGAGAATATTATATCTTGAGTAACACTTAAGGCTAATTTAAATAGTACACAAAAATTGAATTAATTTTACCCACTAATGATTGACTTGACTTACTATTTCTGAACTCTGTGGTAATGTCTGCATGTATAAAGCAATACTGGGACTTTTGAGACTTTCAACAGGTTCTTTGATGTGTTCTAAATGAAAACAAAAGAAAAAGAAAACTAATCACTTGAAAAATAATGTATTGACTTTTTCAAAGGTGCAGAGAAAATCACAAGAAAAATTTAAATGGCAGGAACATTTTCTATCCTTATCACAAAAATATTTTTAAAAACACCTGGAGACTATCCCTTCTTCATCAGAGGAATTCCAAATGAGCCTTGGGAGGTCTCATATCAATGCTTATAACTCTATAAAGCTCCAAGAGTTTCTGTATTCGTTAGTAGATCCTGTCTTAAGAAAGACTTCCAGGAGTTTCATTGAGATGGTTAATAGAAATGAAGAGACCTATTATAATTACATAAGACAAGAGGCACAATAATTGTAAAAGAGCTTCTTGTTGTTAGGTGCCTTCAAGTGGGTTCTGATTTGTAGCAGGTCCATGTACAACAGAACAAAACAGTGTCTGGTGCTGGGCCATCCTCACAATAATTGCTACATTGGAGCCCACTGTGAAAACACTGTGTCAATCTATCTGTTAAGGGTCTTCCTCTTTTTCGCTGACCCTCTACTTTACCTAGCATGATATTCTTTTCCAGGAATTGGTCCCTTCTGATGACATGTCCAAAGTAAGGGAGATGCAGTTTCACCATCATTGCTTCTATGGAACATCATGGCTATACTTCTTCCAAGACAGACTTGTTCGTTCTGACGGCCTACAGTACACTAAATATTCTTCATCAACACCATTAATTCAAAGGCATCGATTCATTTTTCTGTCTTCCTTACTCAAGGTCCAGCTTCAAATGCATATGAAAATATCATGGGTCAGGCGCACCTTAGTACTCAAGTACATCATTTGATTTCTTCACTTTTGCTTCCATGGACATTGATCGTGGAAGTAAATGAAATCATTATGTTGCTTAATGGTCCAGTGTGATGATTTCTGTTTTCTTTATGTTGAGGTATAATCCATACTGAAAGTTGTAGTCTTTGATCTTCATTAGTAAGTACTTCAAGTCCTGTTTTCAGCAAGCAAGGTTGCATCATCGGCATGGCTCTTCCTCCAATGCTGATGCCATGTTACACAGTAAAGCTTCTCAGATTATTTTCGCAGCATGTACACTGAATAAGTGTGGTAAAAGGATATAACCCTGACACATACCTTTCCTGATTTTAAACCAGGGTATCCCCTTGTTCTGTTCAAACAACTGTCTCTTGGTCTATGTATAGGTTCTACAGGAGCAAATTATACAAACTTAGATATGAGACTAAATAAATTATCCTAAATTATCATTATCCATCAATATCACATTAGTAAAGCCAAAGATTATCTAAATGAACTGACCTTCATAGTCTGATGTATGCATATCCACTTCTTCCTGTGTGAATGTTTCTACTTCTTCTAAAAGATCCTCATCAAGGATGTTTCTAAGTTCTTTTTCAGGATCATGAGTGACAGATGTAATCTCATTATTGATTTCTTTTGTTTCAGGTTTTTTTGCTTTAGCTGGCATTCTATGGAGAGAAATGCAGCAGATAAAATAATAACCCCTTTGTAGGGACAAAAAGTTTGAGTTCATTTTATTTGGTTTTTGAAAACAAAGAACTTAGTTTTCATATTTATAAAAAAACCAAAGCTTTTTTAAAAAAATCATGTACGGTGCAAACTAGAAGCTCAATAAAAGGTAGCTCAGTGAATGACTCAATATCTTAGTTCTATTATGATGAAAATAATTTCAAATAATCTAGATTTTTTGCCAGACTCACAAAGGAATATTCCTGCTATAAAGGTTTTGGCTTTGGTGTTCAAAGATATATTACTTCATATGTAAAAATGAATTAAATGATTAGTGCAACTTCCTCTGACATGGGAAATTAATCAATATAAATAAAGAAAGGGAAATTTCAGGATATATCATCTCCTCTCTCAGAAGATAAAAAGTAGGCCAACAAGGATAAACTATAATCTGCAATGAATTGCTACAATTCAGAAAGAGCTCACTTTCTGCTCTTCTACTCATTCCTTTCAATTTCAAAAGTTCAATGTTTCCCTTCAAGTCCAAACATCATCAATTCATGTATTTGCTATTAAAAGAAAGGGTAAAACCAGAAACTTACTTTGAGATATACTGCCAAGTTTCATTTCCATCATGTCTTTCCTCAGTTCCACCTTGAGTTGATAGAGCAGCTGAGCAGCCAGCATCTGCTTTGCTCTCGTGATCAATATTGGGACCAGTCTGATATTTAAAGTAATGATTCTCTAGAACCTAAAATGAACCACTTAGAGCATTTAATACTCATTATTGAACTCTTTATTTTCCTGCTTATTTAAAAGTTATTCACATTATCTACAAAACTCCTGATTTCTCTTCTTATTCATTTATCAAGTAATTACTGTATAGTTACTACTTAGTATTTACTGCTGAAGCCATGAATAAGTCTTTATTTCACCTCCAAAAGCATCTCTGGCCACCATTGTTTACAGGCCACAATATGATAGCAATAAAAATGTAATGTTGCTTTATTTTATTCTTTTCTACTACAATGACATTTAGTAATTATTTCGAAATGGTATATGCATTGGACAAAAATGCATACAGCTGAAAATACAAGAGCTATCTCATCTGTCCCTTACTTAGATATTGTTGTTGTTAAGTGCCATCAAGTCTGTTCCGACTAATAGCAAAGGAGCAACTGGTGAGCTTGAACCACCAACCTTTCAGTTCAAAATGACTTTGCAGTCCAGCACATTGATTCACAGTGCCACGCCAGGACTACTTAGAAATGTAGGTAGGAAGTACCTAGAAATACCTAAGCTTCAGTAACAAATACCACAATATCATATAAAACTACCTTAGGATGACAAAAACTGGTCTCAAAAAACTCCCCACAAAAACAAAACAAACTCATACAAACACATACTTCAGACCCTTCAAACAAAAATATACTATTTTAGAAAGAAGGCATTTAAAAATAGAACGAGTTTAGGTATCACTGATATTTTCAAAATGTTTTTTAAATGCCTATCCCAAGTTATTTTTGCCATGAATATTAAGAACATTTTTTAAAGCTTTCCATTAAATTTATCTACATCTTTTTTGTTGTTGCTATATCAACTACACAACAGAAACTATTTTAAGCAAAAAAATATATTTATCTTGCAAACAGTTAAAAGATTACTACATGCTACTGACTAAAGAGCAGATAGCTAATGATACTAACCCATGTACCGACATCCATCTGCCTCAGCAGGCTGGGCTTTCCAATGACTTCCAAATGCTAGTGTGTCTTAGAGGAACCCTGCTGACACAGTGGTTAAGTGCTTAACTGTTAACCAAAAGATTGGTGGTTCAAAACCACCATCCATTCATGGTAGAAAAATGGAGCCTGCTTCTGTACAGATTATAGACTTGGAAACTCTATGGGCAGTTCTAGTCTGTTTTAGAGAGTTACTATGAGGCAGAACTGACTCCAAGGCAATGGGTTGATTTTGAGTTTAGTCTTTGTCTAAACCAAACCTGAAACTTAAAAGGGATGTAATGTAAATGTTGGCATCCTGGTGTGGCACTGCAGGGTAAGTAAAAGATTCCAAGACCAGTTTGAACCATAAGGTCAGTGGTTCCAAGTCACCAGCCGCTCTTCGCAAACCCTATACGGGGTAGCTATAAACAGGGTAGCCATGAGTTGGAAACCAATAACAATATATATGTAATATAACTTTTTAAATCACCTAAAGTTACCTTCTTCTTTCTTTCTTTTTTAAAAACACAGTCTCAAAACTTCACAGCACTTTTACTATAAAATTGGTTTACTCTTAAGAATTAAAGGAGTCAAGAAAAAATTTTAAAATAAAACAAAGACTCCACATGAAATGGACTGTAATAAGCACTGTAATTAATTCTTAGTTACTTAGTGATTCTCTGATAAATAGAATTTTAAAATAAGACATATCAATTTTATGTAATACGTAATTCTAACACTCACCTTAAGATTGGCATTTTTTGCTTTATATGTAGCAAAATAGGGTTGTCTTAGAAGCCATAATGATGTAAGAATGGCACCTGTAGATGTCTTTACACGAATTACTGGACTGGACTCCCATAATGACTCAGTGATACTGGCATCGCAGAGTAGTCTTCTATCAGACCATCTTATCATCCATTCCAGCAGCTTTCCAATGCTGCCAAAGCTCCTACTCAGTGTTAGCGAAAGAGCTTCTTGATAATTAACATCACTGTTTTCAACTGCTTTAAAAATGAATCTTCTCGTTGTAATGGAACGGGGAGTCCAGAAAACAGGGGTTGACAATCTGTGGACTAGAGGCTTCTCTCGGTTTTCATTTTGATTTCTGTAAATTGACTTTTGTTTTAAACCAAACAATCCACTCTTGGCTTCATTTTTATTGACTTCATTCAAAGGGTTCTCTACAGAAAGTCTGACTCCTTGATTAACTAAGAGTGAGGCAGACAGTGCCTGGCTTTCCAAATTTAAGGCACAGTCATTGCTTAAAGAGGGTGGATTTTCAGATTCATCTGACTCAGGAGCAACAACAAAGCAAGAGCCTGCTCTAAACAAATTCTGGCTTTTGGTTTTGCCTTGACGTCGTTTTAATGTCGTATGCACATCAAAAACTAAAGAATTAAGTTCATGTTCTCTAAGATGTGAAGAAAAACTGATTAGAAATGGAATACCAGAATCACTGGAAGTAAGTAGGTCTCTTTCAAGAACATAACTCATGAAGAGATCAAGGAATTTAATATATTCATCATCATCACGTTCAAATTCCCAAACACCTATTACCGGAACTGTGTTTTGTGACAACTTTTCATTATTTTCTTTCCTTTTAGCATTTTCTTTCTGTTTATATGTTTTCTTTTTATCATTGAGCTTACCAATCAATGTTAAGTCCACGTGGTTTGAAGCATTTCTATAGCAGAACAAAATTGAAAAAGATAAAAAATAAAAAGTCATTTGATCACTAAAATTCATCTTTAAACTTACAATATTCTCCCCAGTGATTAACAGATATATCTTGGATTTCTGGAGTCCTGGTGTGGTGCTGTAGGTTAATGCAAAGGACTATAAAGTGGGTTTGAATTGTAAAGTTGTTGGTTCAAGCTCACCAGCCACTCCTAGGAAACCCTGTACAGAGTTGTTATGGGTTGGAACTGAATCCAAAGCACTTAACAACAATTATCTTTTAATTTAACAGTAAACGGGGTTGGGGTTATACATTTGATTCATATAATTGATGTCATCTGAAAAAAGTTATATTGGCAAAGATATTTTTACAACAAAAAACATAGTTTTGCACAACCAAAGACCTTATGGGATCTGGTTCACTGGTTTGGAGGTTTAGGGTCATGGTTTTATGGGACATCTAGTTAATTGGTCTATTTTTTTTTTTTTAAATCTTTTTTTTTAATGTTTTATTGTGAATTATATGATAGTTTACATGGGAGAATATTAGTTTTACATTCATTCTATTGTATATCGTTTCATTGCCATGGTTCCAATCCCCTCCATGCATCATCAACTAACCAAAGGGTATACCCTGCAAGCCTTCCCTCTGCACTCCCCCTCCCAGTTTTCAGCACACAGTCGCTCTCCCTCTCTGGATCTAAACTCCCCAGCTGCTCCATCGCTCTACATCATCGTCTCTGCCTCCATCTCAGGGATCGCTGCTTCTCTGGGTAGAGTCCGCTCTCGGCTCTTCTCCATTGATTGTCCTAGGGACCCCTGATTCTAGACTGGAAAGTTAATCACTCCCTTCCTTGCTATAAAACATCTACCTTTACATTTCCAAATTGGTCTATCATTTTTAATGTTTCTGTTCTGTCTCCTACTTTGTTGCATACTACCTGGAGTCTTAAAATTTGCAAGTGGCCATCCAAGGTACAACAATTGGTCCCTATTCACCTGAAACATTAGTGGAAGAAGGAGAGTCAGGAACAGGAGGGGGAAATGGTATGCATGGTTAATTGCCTCCAAGAACAACTGCCTCCTTTGCTATGAGAACAAAGAACTGAATGGTTATCATTGCTGAACGTTTTGGTCAAAGATTTTATAGAAGACTTCTGATTAAATTGAGGGGAAACACTGAACAGAATTCAAATTCTCATGGAATGCAAACTTCCCAGAGCCATTAAAGCTGGATGAACCCCAAAACCATGGTCCAGAGATACTCTTTAAACCGTAAACCAAAAATAACCTAAGGATCCCTTAAGTCTTCTTTGGGCCAACATTGTTAAGTTCTATCGAGTTGGTGCCAAGTCATGGTGTGGCGCTATGGGTTAATGAGCTAGCCTACAAAGTCCATTTGAACCACAAGGTCAGAGGTTCAAGCTCACCAGCTGCTCCTTAAAAACCCTATACAGGGTCACTATGGGTAGGAACCAACTTGACGGCACTTAACAACAACAACAACATAGGGTTTCCAAGGAGCAACTGGTGGGTTTGAACTGCTGACCTTATGGTTATTAGTCCAGTGTTTATCCAAGGACTCCAAGCCAACAACAATTTAGTAAAGAAAGTCTGCCTTAAGTGTTGTGATCTTTTAAAGAGTTGTCTGATGAACTCAAACAGATAACAACACAAAAGGTTAGTGATAATTTGATAAAGGCCAGCAAGAATGATTGTATAACTTGAAAAATGTAATCACTGTCACTAAAATGTACATGCAGCAATTGGTCACTCAGTTTATGTTTTGCTGTGTGTATTTTCATCAAAAATAATAAAAATTTAAAAATAAGTAAATGAGATGTTAAACTGAATGACCTCTAAGTTTTCTAGAGCTCAACATTCTATGACTCACCCCCTCCCCAAATATATCACATTAATATTAAAAAGGAAAAGTGACATGTGTTCATGGAAATTTCACTATAAAACAAAATGGAAATACAAGCCACCAATATACAGCTAGAAAAATCCTGAGTTTCTCATTTCTCCCTCTTGTCTGCCTCCCTTAGCAACCCTTATACAATTTGTAACAAGAATGCCCTCAGGATTCTTTTCCACAAAAAAGTTGAAAACGTTTTTTAAATACTCTCAGCTGCTATCAAAGCTATGGTTAAATTTTCAGCATTTAACTGCTGTTCCAAATCACTTTTACATATTTTCCTTCCAGCATGCTCTGTTAGAGTTGAACACAGATCCTTGGTTTCCTCAAGAAGAGAAAGTTTCATGTTAGGCATCTAGGTTGAAGACATCACATCTCTTTTTACAAAGTATGTTCTGTAATCAACCTTCAGGTAAACCTGTGCTAACATTTAAGCACTGCTGTTTTATAAAATAAGCACAACATTTACAATGTGATTATATGTTTATGTGCATATATTTTTGTAGGTTGTTGTTGTTAAGTGCCGTCGAGTCAATTCCGACCCATAGCGACCCTGTATAGGGTTTCCAAGGAGCAGCTGGTAAGCTTGAACCACCGACCTTGCGGTTCAAACTGATGCATTAGCCCACATTGCCACATCAGGTATTAGATATAAATTAGGACTCTTTGGTGTACCACTGTAGGATCAGCACTGGACTGTGAACCACACGGTTGGCAATTCAAACCCACCAGCTGCTCCTCAGAAATCCTATACAGGGTTGCTATGAGTTGGAACCAACTCTACGACATTTAACAACAACAACAAATATACAGTTTAAGCAGATGCTTAGAGTAGTTGGGATTATTATTCTTAAGATTATGGTTGATTTACAATCTTTCAGTCATGAGAAGGATAAATTACACTGCAGATACTGGAGTTATAAAGAAAAAAATAATAGTAACAGACATTTAGATGATAAGCAAGAATTTCCCAACAATTTATGAATGAGTTTCAAATAGGAAACCCCTAAAAATTATATGACTAACCCAATAATCCCCAATTTCTATGTCTAAAGACTACTAAAATAACTAAAAGTCTTTCAATGGCCTATAGAATGTATCGATTCAATTTCCTAGCTCAGTATTATTTATAAATGCGTTTCAAAGGTACAGTTTTATTTTATCCTCCTAATGTCATGAGTAGAGAACATTGTGCTTATCATTCACTTTATGAACAGTCCAGTCAGGGAGGGTGGCTGGAACCAGAAATAAGATCATCAGTTACATAAAAATATGTTAAAACATTATTTCTCACAATGGGAATGAATGTTAGCTACTGAGAACTCAGTTTTACCTTGGACAGAAATGTGTTCTCTTTTTTTTTCCCACTGACAAAGCTTCAGAAACAGTGTCTGCCGTATCAGCATCACTGTGAACCAGAGAATTCCCCAGTTCTGTGAGTGTACTCCTGCTCATACTAGTCCCCAAGGAAAACCTGTCAAAAGCTGGAGCGTCATCTGGTTTTTCTTCTTCAACTGGTTCCCAAATATTCATCTCAAAAGAACCTATATTTCTCCACACACGCTTTAGAGCTTTCACCCTCACTTTGTGGATAGAATGCATGAGAACAGACATCATTTCCTCACTTTGAGGACCTAAAAAGAAAAAAAAGAGAAAGTCTTTCATCTCATTAAAATATTTTAACTTAAGACATGTTGTTACTGTTGAGGTAACTGCTGGTGAGTTCAGACTCATAAAGACACTATCTATGTACAACAGAACAAAACAGTGCTAAGTCCTGTGTCATATTCATAATTGCTGCTTTGTTAGAGCCCATTGTTGCAGCCACTGTACCAATCCATCTTGTTAAGGGTCTTCCTTTTTATTACTGTCCTACTCTAGGAAGTGGTTTCTCCAAAAACATGTCAAAATTATGAGAAACAAGGTCTCAACACCATTGCTTCCAGGAAGCAATCAGCGGTACTTCTTCCAAAACAGATTTGTTCATCACCCTGGCTTTTGTTGTTGTTGTTAGGTACCATCTAGTTGGTACCAACACATAGCGACCTTATGCCCAGAAGAACGAAACACTGCCCGATCCTGGGCCAACCTCACTACTGTTGCCACACTTGAGTCCATTGATGCTGCCACTTGGCCAATCCATCTCATTGGGGGTCTTCCTCTTTTTCACTGACCCTCGACCCCACCAAACATGAGCTCCTTCTCCAGTGACTGGTCCCTCCTGAAAATATGTCCGAAGTATGAGAGATGAAGTTCGGCCATCCTGGCCTCCAAGGAGCACTCTGGCTGCACTTCTTCCAACATGGTTCTGTCCATGGTAATTTCTGTCCTGGCAATCCATGGTAATTTCAACGTTCTTTATCACCACCATAATTCAAATGCAACAATTTTTCTCCAGTCCTAATTCATTGTCTATATGTTGCATTTCTATTAAGAATGCAAGGTGACATCTTTGCTCTTTAGCACTTTAAAGCTGTTTGGTGCAGAAGATTTACCCTGTGCAATATGTCATTTCATTTCTCGATGGCTACTTCAGTATGGTTGTTTTTTGTTGCTAGGTACCATTGAATTGGTACGGACTGATACTTAAGCACAACAGAACAAAATACTGCTCAGTCCTGCGCCAACCACGCAGTCTTTGTAACACTCAAACCCACTGCTGCTGCCACTATGACAATCTATGTAATTGGGGTCTTCTTTTTCGCTGACCCTCCTCTTTACCAAACATGGTATCCTTTTCTAGGGTCTGGTCACTCCTAATAATGTATGAGATAGAAGTCTTGCCATCCTGGCTTCTAAGGAGTATTCTGGTTGTACTTCTTCCGACACAGATTTGTTTGTTCTTCTGCCACTCTAAGGTGCTTTTAATATTTTTCTCCAACATCATAATGCAAATGCATCAATTCTTCTATGGTCTTCTTTATTCATTGTCCAACTTTCACATGCATATGAAGCTATTGAAAATACCATGGCTTGGGTGAGGTGAACCTTTGTCCTCAAACTAACATCTTTGCTCATGAACACTGTAAAGTGGTGTTGTGCAGAAGATTTGCCTAA